TTTTTTTTTTTTTTTTTGGTACTGGGGATTGAACTTGGGTCTTTCTGCATGTGGGGCAGGTGGGGGAACCACTGAGCTAAATCCCCAGGCCCTGATATCATCTTCAATCTCTCTTTTCAGAGTGCTATAGTTTTCAGAGAAAAAGTCTTTGATTTCTTTTGTTAGGTTGATTCCTAGGTATTTCAGTTTTTTGAATGCTATTATGAAAGGAATTGTTTGCCCTATTTCTGTCTCAGTGAGTCACAGAACATATTTTTAAAGGCTATTTATCTTTTTTGTGTATTTTGGGCAAATTATTTGCATATATTTCTTACCTGTAATCTGTACCTATTACAGTTGTGCCTGTTGTATGATTTCCATGTATTATTTTTCTAGTCTGTTGTTTGTCATTGCTTATGGAGATTTTTAAATTTTTATGCAGTCAGTTTAACTCTTGATTTTTTAATTTTATTTTGTTATTTTTTTATTTTTAATTTTTTGGTACTGTGGATCAAACTCGGGACCTTGCGTTCGCGAGGCAGGTGGTGAAACCACTGAGCTAAATCCCTGGCCCACTCTTGATGTTTTTTAGATTTCGTACCATAGTTAAAAAGGTCCTCACTATAATATTATGAAAGCATTTTCCTTATAGTTTCTTTTCCATTGTTTTTTAGTGCTTTTAAATGATAGTTCCACCTGGAATTTATTTTGGTGCAAGGTATTTAGTGTGGTTACACTTATTTTTTTCCCAGATATTTATCTAGTTGCCTCAGTAACATAGTGATCCCCTTTATCTTCTCTTATTTATATGGCACTTTTATCAGGTATCATATTTCTGCTTGTATTTGAGGTTCATGTCTAGTTTCTTATTTTTTATTGATTTTCTTGGCTGTTCAATATCAATATTTTTAATTATTTGAGCTGTATAAAATGTTTTGGTATCTAGTAGAGTTGCCCTTACTCTCTTAAAAAATAAAAAAAAAAATTTGTGTTTTCTTTTGCTCTTGTAAACTTCAGAGTTACTTAGTTTCCACCGCCACTAAAAGTCCTGTTGATATTATTATTGGGATTCTATAAAATTGCATGTTAATTTAGGGAGGATTCATAACTTCCTTTCACTTCTTATTTTTCCCTGTACTTTTTATTTTTGGTACCGGGGATCGAACTTGGGTCCTGCGCTTGCGCAGCAGGTGGCGAAACCACTGAGCTAAATCCCCAGCCTTCCCTATACTTATTTGTAAACTGACTCCCTTCCTTCTCTTGCTCCTATGCTAATGCTCTTTTAAGCTTTAATTTCTTTTCTTTTAATGGCAAAGAAACAAAAACTATGGGACCACGAGTTTGTAAGAGTTTGAAAGTAGCTACAGAATTCTCATTCTTTAGAGCTACTGCATTTCAGTTTAAGTTACCAGTCTCATCAGTCTTCTCCTCTGGATGAGGGGTACTTCAGAGCTCCAGAAGATCCAAGCTCTTGAGTTGGGCTGAACCCTGTGATGCAGGTAGCAGTAGAGGAGTGGCTGTTGACCTGCAGCAGGACCCTGTTGCTGTCCTGAAGGATTGTCCTGGAGATGGGAATGTTTCAACCTTTTTGTTGCTCAGTCAGAACAAGAAGTAAAGGCTCATGGTGAAGTCCAGTTTTTCTTTTTTTTAACCTAACATGGGATAGTAATGGAAACTTTCCTACTGTTTTGCAGAAATAAATATCCAAAATCATAATGTAAAACCGAAAGGATTTTTAAAATGCAGAACTTAGAGCAGATATTGCACATCTACTCTCTTTACTATGATATGCACGCAGCTCATACATGCAGGAAAATCATTCATTTGTGGTAGTCAGAGCTGTGAGGCATAGTCAGAGCTGTGAGGCCCATCTGGAGGGATTTCCCAAAGATCTTCATAGCTTATTTTGTTTGGCTCTCCTCCCTGTCTTCTGGTGTTCTTGGCAATGTTGTTTATGCCATCTGTAATTTTTCATGGTTCCTTTATCTTTGTCTCAGTGGACCTCAAGTGCTGCTTTAGTTGTTTGGAGCCTGGGTACTGGATGACATATTGAAATCTGAACTCTTGTTCTGGGCAGGCCCACTGGGACACAGAAGCTTTCAGAGTGGTATTTGCCACAACTATTTTACAGCTCTTAATATAGTACCTGTACTAGAAGAGTTACATTTTAAAGTGCTTTGAAACCTGAGGAGGGAGGAAAGGAAATAGCAGCTTTATCTTAGTGTAGGATTTTATCTTACCCTGTGCTAGGACTGAACTGCTACTTTCCACAATAGGCATAATCTAGGGGGATTGTAGCAGAGTAATTGTACTCTAGGGTTGACAAAGGGCCAAGAGCAGAAAGATGGGGGCCAGTAGCACTGTGGATATGAACTAGCTTATGTGTTCGTGTTTGTCTGTCTGTCCATGTGTGACTTCCTAAGTTGTGTAACAGCCTTTTCAACCCCCTTTCTCATTCTTCCCTTCACTAACCTTTACCCACACTGGTCTTCTTAAGGTTCCTGTATTGTACTGAGCACACTCTTTCTGCTTGAGGATTTTGCTGATGTTCTCTCTGCCTGGGTCTCTTCTCGATACAGTACTTTTTCCTTGGTTGCTTTCTTCTGATCCTTTAGGTGTTCAGTGACACTTCCTTAGAAAAGCTTTCAGTGGCTGCCCAGTCTAAAATGGATCTCATCTGTTTTTAACTCACAATGCTATGTTTCTTCTAACTTACAACAGTTTGTAATTAGTATGTGTGTATTGCTGTGTTCCATGAACATCTTCTCCAACTAGAAGTAAATCATATTTCTTAAACCACTGTATAATAGTTCCTGGCTCATTGTAGATGTACATTAAATATTTGGTGGAGGAACTAATGAAAGTCCAGTGGACCCTACTGGGTTCTTTCATAGCCATCTCTGTAACTGCATTGATTGGTTGTGGTTGTGGTTGTTAGATTGTGGCGTGTCCTGAAGTGCTTCCTCAGAAGATGGTGTCACCTGGAGCAGTGCAGGAGACCTTTGGTCACCAGTTCCTGTCCATGGATGCCCAGCCTGAACAAGAGCCACGGAAACCTCATGTTCTGGAGGAAAATGGTGAGGCACCATGTTTCAGCATAACAGACATGGTAGAGCCGGGTACTCTGGCCCATGGCCAGGGAGTATTGGAAGAGAGGGAAGGGAGGCTCAGCAGCCTGTCTGAAACCAGCAGGCTCGGGAGGTTGGGAAGGGTTGGAAATCTGGGGTGTACTCTCTGGTGTCAAAATAGAGGGCAGCTTCTAGGATGACTGGAGCTGTATTCAAAAGATATAATGGAGCTAGATGTGGTGGCACATGCCTGTAATCCTAGCACTTGGGAAGCTGAGGCAGAAGGATCACTGTGAATGTGAGGCCAGCCTGAACTACACGGTGAGACCCTGTCTCAAAGAAGCACATACACATACACAAACACCAAAACTTGAATAGAGGCTGGGGTGTAGCTCAGTGGTGCTCAGCATCTGCATGGCCCTTGATTCGATCACTAGCACCAAAAAAAAAGACAGACACTATAACAGATGATTATATTGACAGGTTGAAGTACAGGTATTGTTCAGAGATCTATAGATGTCTCTTACACATATTTCGAAATTGTTCTGCAAGCCCGGCAAGGTGGCACACACCTGTATCTTAGCACTCAGGAGGCTAAGGCAGGAGGATCACCTTGAATTCCAGGCCAGCCTGGGCTTCATAGTTAATTCAAGGCTAGCCTGAACTGCATAGCAAGATCCTGTCTCAGAAAAACCAAAAAAAGTAAAAAATTAAAAACAAATTGTTTTGGAGCAGTTTTTCACCTCTGTCTCATGAATTTTATTGTCTTAATGATTATATTAAAAAGACACTCCAGTTTTTACTTGCATTTATTTCTGGCTGCTCAGCCATTCACTTTGAAATCTTATTTGAAGCAGTTTTCCCACTGACCTTAGAACATTTGACCTCTCTTCTTTCCTTCCCTGTTTCTCTCTTCCACTCCCTCCCTCCCTGTCTCAGTTTTATTTACCTGTATTAGCTACATCAAGGAAGATCAGCTGAGTATCAAATTAATTATGTCATATGTCCACCAATCCATAATCCCTGAGTTTTGCAGATTTAGTAAGGTGATATAATTTATACTATTTATTACATTAGCAGCACTGTTTGAAGTGGTACACATATTAATATTTGTGTGCTGAAATGTATATATATTGGAGTAAGTTGATTAAATAAAAGCTTTATTTTGTTTTGTTTTTTTGGTTTGGTACCAGGGATCAAACTTGGGACCTTGCACTTGCGAGGCAGGTGGCTGAACCACTGAGCTAAATCCCTAGCCTAAATAAAAGCTTTAAATGGCTTTATAATAATTCAGGTCCGGCTTGGGTGTGGTGGTGCATGTCTGTAATCCCAGCACTTGGGAGGCTGAGGCAGGAGGATTGCCTTGAGTTTGAGACCAGCCTGGGCTACATAGTGAATTCAAGGCCAACCTGAACTATGTAGTAAAACCCAGTCTCAAAAAAAAAAATTCAGGTCAGATTCTGCTGTCAAATTATTTCAGTGCCTAATTTAATGGAAAAAAAATCCTTTGGGGTCATGCACGGTGGCAAAGATCTGTAGTCACAGCTATTCCAGAGGCTGAGGCAGAAGGATCATTGGAGCTCAGGAGTTTCAATCCAGCCTAAGCAACATAGTGAGACCTCGTGGCGGGGTGGGGGTTCCTCTGCTATTTACAGCTTTGTTTTCAGAATTGTGGATAAGAGTTGGTGGATAAAGGACTATATTTCCTCTGTTCGGCCTCAGACTTTCTTATAGTTCTTGGTTTGTTTGCTTTTTGAGACAGTCTTACTATATAGTTCATAGTTCAGGCTGGCCTTGAACTCACTGTGGGGTCGAGGCTGGCCTCAAACTTGTGATCCTCCTGCCTCAGCCTCTGAATGCTAGGATTATGGGCATGGGCCACCACACTTGGCTCTTTCAGTCTTTCTTGAGTGTTCAAATTTCTCCTTGACATACTCCATTGTCCTCATCTCCTCCAGCTGTCCTTCCACCATGGTAAAAATAGCAGCTGCAACAGCAGCTATTACTTATGTAGTGCATACTTTGTGTAGGAACTGTTCTAAGCATTTTACCTGTTGGAATTCATTTATGCCTCACAGTACTAGGAAAAATGGTCCTTACCTTTTATCACCTGGGTCCAGTGGATCCTTTTTGTTTTTTGTATTTTAAGTAATTTTATGAATAATTATAAAAGAATTCAAAAGAGTGAAAAACAATTTTTAAAGAAATTCTAATAAGCACTAAACTTCTTTGCATCAAGTATGTTTTGACACACAGACGTGGTGAAAGAATACTGTCATGGAGTTCTCTCCTTTCAGCAAAATGGGATGGTCAAGACTCTTGTGAAATGTCATATGGGACAGTCCTTTCTGTTCAGTCACTCACTGGATGAGAGTGCTATAGTTTTTTGAAATTAAAAATAGGTTGTTCATTGTAGATTCTTTGTTGTTATTTTTGAGATAGGGTTTTACTATGCAATTCAGGCCAGCCTTGAACTCACTGTGTATCCCAAGCTGGCCTTGAACTGGCAGTGATCCTCCTGCTTCAGCCTCCTGAGTGCTGGGATTACAGGTGTGTGGCACTGTGCAAGGCAGCATTGTTGATTCTTGAATTTGAGAAAATTTATGTAGGATGTTAGCATTTAAAGACTTATGCTGATATTTTCCTTATTGTCATCATTATTGTTATTATTAGAGAGTGCTGTTATTTGTCTCTGTCATCTTCTGAATTGCGTAGTAAATGTCTTTTTCTGTACATTTAAGTTTTGGCAATTTGAGCAGCAGATGAAAAATTGTGCATTCTCAGTTGTGTTGAGTGAAAACTAAACAAGTGTCAACAGCTTTCTTTTCTACCTGCTTGAAGAATGAAGTGGTGCTTTGGGCAACGTATGTAGTATTTTGAGAAGGGTAAAGAATGATGATTTATTTCACTCTTCTGTCACCCATATGTTTCCTTTATTCTTCCATGCTTGTCACTTTAGTCTTCTGTGGCATTGTTGGGAATAATTAATAAATTGTGATTAGTACAGTGAAATAATTTTTAGGATGAAATGGAAAAATATTTCAACGCATAGGAAAACTAAGATCATGTAGATGCCAAACTGTATCTTAGATTTGTACACAGGTCCAATTGATCCATATAGAATTTAGTCTGTTTGTAAAATAAATTTCCTTTTTGTTCTTGAGAAGACTTCAAAAACAATAAATACTATATAATACTAACCTTAACAAATATAAAAGCTGGGCATGGTGGTACCCTCCTGCAATCCCAGCACTTGGGAGGCTGAGACAAGAAGATTGCCACAAGTTCAAGGCCAACCTCAGCTACATAGTGAGTTCAAAGCCAGCCTGAACTGCATAGCAAGACCCTATCTCAAACAAAATAAAATGAAACAAAACATTTAAAACTGTTCATAAAAGAAGCTCAAAAACTAAATGTGCAGTAGACTTTGTTGGTATACACATAATTCTTACTACTGGTGCATGCCTGTAAGCCCAGCTACTTGAGAGGCTGAGACAGGAGGATTGCTTGAACCCAGGAGTTTGAAGCTAGTCCGGGCAACATGGCAAGACCCTGTCTCCCAAATAAAACAAACAAAAACCAGTGATTCCGTATCAAAAAGGGATGGGGATGTAGCTCAGTGTGAAGGTCTTGGGTTCAATTCCCCTCTCCCCACACAGACATGAAAAAAAAATTAGGCCTAAGAGTTTGAGTAACTTGTCCAAGGTCACAAAGCTGGTAAGTAACAGAGCCAAGGTTTAACCTGAGTGGTCGGGCCCTAAGTCTAGACTTCTTTTTTAAAAATTTTATCGGTACATTTTAGATACACGTAATGATCACATTCATCTTAGGGAATTTGTACCTGTACAGGATAGATCTTGCTTCTTTTTTCCCATTCCCCTCCACTCCCTTTGACCCTTTTCCCCTCATTTACAAAGGCTTTGTTTCCATTTTTCCTTCTATTCTCTTACGGTTTTCTTGTCCCTCCCTTCCTTTCCCCCTCTCCCCTCCCTTGTTCCCCTTCTCATTTGAACATTTTCTTCCTGTTTCCCAATATCTGTTATACATTTTGGTCCTTATTTACAGTTTCAGTTTCTCACACCAGAGAAACAATGAAGTATTTATAAACATTTGTGTCCAATTTATTTCACTTAAGAGTATAGTCTCAAGGTGCATCCATTTAGCTAGAAATGTCTCAATCTTATCCTTGTTTATGGCAGAGTAGTACTCCCTTGTATAAAAAGACCACATCTTCTTTATCCATTCATTGGTTAATGGGCATTTGGGCTGTTCCAAGTTTTAGCTATTACAAAATGTGGTGCTATAAACATGGGTGTGCATATATCACTGTGGTGAGATGCTTTTAATTCATTTGGGAAGTTACCAAGAAGGGGAATAGCTGAGTCAAATGGAACCTCTAGTTTTAGTTCCTTGAGAGATCTCCACACTGATTTCCACAGTGGTTGCACCAATCTACACTCCCAGCAAGAGTGGAGCAGGGCTCCTTTTTCCCTTGTCTCTGCCAGCATTTGTTATTAGTTGATGTCTTGATAATAGCCATTCTTTCTGGAGTGAGCTGGAATCTCATCATTGCTTTAATTTGCATCTCTTGAATGACAAGTGATATTGAGCATTTCTTCGTATACTTATTTGCCTGTTCTACTTTATCTGAAAAGTGTCTGTTCATTTCAGATGCCCACCTCAGTTTAGACTTCTGCCCTATTCTGAGCCATCTCACCTTTGCTTTCTCCACCATATTTTCCCATGTACTGATGGCCATCCTTAAATCACAGGGCACACAGACGGGAAGGTCCGCTGTGCCATGGTCTTGAGACAGAGCCAGTAGAGGTGACAGCAAAAGCTGATATGGTTTCCAGCCTCTGGAGATGGGACCCTTTAAGGCAACACACATGCCCGCCCTTTGCCCAGGAAAGCTTGCCTTCTCCTACCTCTTCCCCCGACCGCCTAGCGCCACCCTCCAAGAAAAGGCCTTTCTGCTACTCCTGCTTCTCTCGTGCAGTCTGCAGGTGCTTCTGCCCCTGTGGAAAGTCAGGAACATCAGTTCTAGAACTTTTCACACTGTGGTAAGGCAAGCAGGCCTACATATCTGTTCTCTCCATTGGAGTTTTTCAGGACAAGAGTAGTTTTATCTGACTATTCCTCTAATAGAGTAGACCTAATGTATATCTCTTGACTTCTTGCCTGAATATGAACTATGGAAATTCCTTGAAGCCTTTGGACTGGAGCCTTTGGTAATCCAGGTGTGGTCCAAGGACCAGCCAGACCAGTTCACTTGCTCAAGCTTGATAGAAATGCAGCCTTCGGTCCACTCAGGCCTTCTGAGTCAGAATCTGCTGTGTGCCAAGATCCCTGCATTAAAGCTTGTGAACCCCTGCACTCTAGGCAATGCTTCAGCTTCATGGAAGGTGGGAGACTCTGTTCTTGGAGGCCAGTAGAGTTGATGCAGGCAGAGTGGAATGCAATGAATCCTTTCTAGGAGAATGGTCCAGCAGGAATTAGTGACCAAAGCAGCAAGTCTGGTTTTTTGGGGAGAAGGAGGAATAAAAGGATAAGTGTGGGTGGGGCCAGGATGCAGAGAGTCTTGAGAGCCAACCAGAGGAATTTGGCAGGGGTCATTGTAGATTTGCGTGCAGAGGAGGCCTATGACAGCACTGAGAACCAAATGGAGATACTCACACTCACACCTTTTTCTCCTCCCTCAGCCCTTCCTGTTCTCCAAGCTCCTTCCCTTCCTCTGAAGGACAGCCAGGAGCTGACAGCTTCACTTCCCTCAGCTGGGTCCCAGGTGAGCTGGTACCTCTTTGGCCTTTGTGAGGACCTGCATCCCTTCTCTGACAGGTAGCTGCCTTGATTGTAAGTTTTTATTAGGAAGTCTGTTTCTTTGACCAATCACCAGGCCCATCTTGGGTTATTAACTTCATTACCTTTTATCTTTTTCCTTTCTGCCCAATACTTCCCACTTCTCTTTGAGGCAAAGTCCCTCTCGTCACTGATTTCCTGCTGTAATGCTCCCAGTTCTTCCCCTCGCTCCAGATTTGATCACAGGGAGTGGGAATTTAGCAGAGATCTCCTGTTTCAGAAGTTGGTGAAAATTGAAGATGTGGCTGATATGGCTGTATCCTTCATCCTGGAGGAGTGGGAACATTTGGACCAGTCCCAGAAGTCTCTTTATAGGGATGGCAGGAAGGAGAATTATGGGAGTATTACTTCCCTGGGTAAGAATTATTTCACCTGCATGGATTAGGACATCTTAATTTTGGTATTTTGTAAGGAGTATTTGTAACACATCATATAAAAAAACATATTTTTTTTGATACCAGGGATCGAAGTCAAAAAACATACATGTTTTAATTGTTATGTTTTTGACATTTTTTTCCTGTAAGTCAACCTCTTTTTTACTCATTTAAATTATTCTGATTATCTACCTTAATAAAGGTATGATTGAAGACTGATAGTACTGTACTTGAGGTGGATAGGTTTTATAATCCATCAAATGCTTTTAACTTTCTTAAATAAGAGCACACTTAAAACTAATGGGTTTAGATTCTAATAAATTTTAAGTGGTTATTGTATTCCTTGGCAAATTGTGTAATTCTTAACAGAATAATTCTGGTTTATAAAACTTCTCAGACCCTTTGTGTGTGTGTGTGGGGGGGTTGTACTGGAGGTTGCACCCAGGGCCTTAACACTGAGCTGCATCCTCAGCCCTTTTTTTTTTTTTTTTGGTACCGGGGATTGAACTTGGGTCCTTGCACTTGTGAGGCAGGCGGCAAAACCACTGAGCTAAATCCCTGGCCCAACCCTTTTTTTATTTTTTATTTTGAGATGGGGTCTTGCCGAGTTGCCTGGACTTGGCTTATGATCCTCCTGCACCAGCCTCTCAGAGTGTGGAGTTTATGGGCTTGTACTGTAGTGCCCAGCTCAGTGGCATTGTCTCCTTTCTTCTCGTGCATGGGTGGTTAGTACACTTCAACACCATTCCAGATCACAGGTCGCTACTTTATGACGTTCGTGTTGGTATCTACATTTCACATGTTACATCACTTCTTGAATTTGTACACTTACATCTAACTAAGTTACGATCTTGAAAGTTGAAATCTTTTTTTTTTGGTACTGGGGATCGAACTCGGGTCCTTGCACTTGTGAGGCAGGTGGTGGAACCACTAAGCTAAATCCTTGGCCCCGATCCTGAAAGTTAATGGTCCTGTATGCTGCCTAGAGTGATGATAAAAAGCTCAGCATTATTGCAGACACTTTGGGGATTGTGGCCTTTAGCTTTTTAATCATTCTTATAGAAGAACCAACCACTTCATATCAGGCACACTGGTGGGCTTCAAGTGAAATACATACACAATGCCAGATTTCTTTTGAAAAGCATGGCAGGGGCCATTGGTTCACGATTTCAGTTCATTCACAGGCTTTTACTTAAAAGGTATAAAAATGACTCTTGTTCTTTCAAATTTTGTATTTTGGTTGCTATTAATATTTTCAAGAATTTCCTTTTATGTCCTCTGTTCATTGATCTATTGGGATCTTAGGGGTAGTCTTTTATCTCAATGAATTATTAATATTGTAACAATGTTACACTGAGCCGGGTGTGTGGTGGTGCACATCTGTAGTCCCAGTACCTGGAAAACAGAGGTAGGAGTATTGCTGTGAGTTCAAGGCTAGCCTGGGCTACATAGCGAGTTCAAGGCCAGCCTGAATTACATGGAGAGACTTTGTCTAAGGAAAAAAAAAGGATATTTAATGAAAATGTTTCTTTACTCTCTTCCTTTTAATTTCTAAAAGCAACTCTGAACCTGTTAGTATTGCTGTGTATTTCCAGGCACTACACAGGGACTTGGTGGCTTCATTCAGAGTTGGAGGTTCTTGGGATAGTTCTTTCCTAGGTCACTCTCACAGCTGTTCTCAATTCTTACTTTGTTTATTTTTCTCATTATCTTCATTGCCACATCTTTACAACGTCAGTCTGCTCTTCTACATTGAGATCATGTTCAGTGGTTTCTACCTCCTTAGGCCACATTTGATTATTTTTATGCTTGTGGATTTCTAGCAGCATCGTAGGTTAGAATTTTAAAAAATATCCATCATATTTGGAAATGAGATTTTAAAAAATAAATAAATGTATCTTCTCCAAGATGGATTGGCTGGAATATGGGGGAACATGAGACAGTGTCTTTCAAAACTGCAAAGAGGAGGGACTTGAGGAAAGTATTCTAGATAACTTTCAAGAACTTTGTCTCTAAAGTGAAAGAGAGAGGCTTGATCACTGGAGTATATGGGTTGAATGGATGGATTGTTTTTGTATACTTTTTTTTGATGCAGAGTCTTGCTATTTAGTTCAGGCTGACCAGTTCAGACTGGCCTCAGTCTTGTGATCTCCTGCCTCAGCTTCCTGAATATTGGGATTACAGGTGTGCACCGCCATGCCTAACTGAATGCTCCTTTTTCTAAAGGGGAGAAGTTTTAAGCATATTTAAATGCTACTCAAGGACCAGGGATTTAGTTCAGTGGTGCCACTGCCTGCCCCACAAGCGCAAGGTCCCAAGTTTGATCCCCAGTACCAAAAAAAAAAAGAGAATGCCGGGCATGGTGATATACACCTATACACCCATACTGGCTAGGGATTTACCTCAGTGGTTCCGCCACCTGCCTTGTAAGCAGTGCAAGGTCCCAAGTTCAATCCTGGTACCAAAAAAAAAAAATGTACTTATTGGGCCGGGGATTTAGCTCAGTGGTTCTGGCACCTGCCTCACAAGCGCAAGGTCCTGAGTTCGATCCCCTGTACCAAAAAAAACATGCTACTCAAAAAGAACTTACAAAGTAGAAGATGGAAGTAAGGTAGAACAAATAAGTGATCTGGGGAGTTGCCTGGAAAGCAGGAAGGCATGGGAGATCCAGGTTATGGGAGGCAGGAAGGATTGATCTTGGTTAACGAGAAAGATATGCTCTATTGTGAGCAAAGAGAGGATGAAAAGTAGGCTGTTAGTAAGTTTAAAGATGGGGCTGTAAGACATTCAGGGAGCTCTTGGCTGGATAGCTTTGACTTTCTGTGAAATAGGAAAGTCACCTGTCGAGAGGGAGCAGGTGATTCAGCAGGCAGTGGAGTGAGTAGGAGATGATGCAGTAGTGGTTTTAATGCAGCGCAGTGGAGAACTGTGGCTTTAAAAGGTTCATATGTGCGCATAGTAAAAATTCAAATAGTATAAATGGGTATAACGTGAAAAATAAGGCACCTACCTTGAGATTTTTAGGCTGGCCTTGAACTCACTACGTAGCCCATGCTGGCCTTGGACTGTGGAAATCCTCCTGCCTCACCTTCCTGAACGCGGGGATTACAAGTGTGCGTCACCTTAGCCAGCAAGGCAGTGATTATGGCTAGGGTGTTGTTATATCTCTGGACATGTCTGCGTGTTTGTTTGTTGTGTGGTACTGGGGATCAAACCCAGGGGCCTCTATACGGAGCTATGTCCTCCCTGCCCCTCTTTTAGTTTTAGGCACAAGGCCTTGCTAAGTCTTCCGGCTGCCCATGCTGGGCTTGAACCTGGGATCCTCTTGTCTCACAGAGTGCTGGGATTACAGGGGTATGCTGCCCCTCCCAGCTCTAGACATGTTCTTCATGGATATAAGTTCATGAGAAACTAATACCATACCATATATATTAGTCCACTTTTAAAATATAGCAGTGGGAACATTTTGATATAGGTGCTGAAAAAAATGAGTAAGAAAAAGAGCCAAACTTAGAAAGATAGATAACCCAGGGAACCAGTGAAATTGAAGGTCATGATTTTGAAGCCTGATTGAGCTTTTTTGTATACCCCCCCCCCATTGTTCAGCAGCCTGGCACAGCATTGAGCAAGGACAGTTGAATATACAGATAAACCAAGACTCATCAGAAAGCTTGTCATTTACACCATGAAGAGGCAGGAAGCCAGTCTATAAGTTGACTGGTATCACAATATATATGCTCCCTCTCCTTGGAAAAGGATAATTGTTAATATCCCAATCCTAATAATTGGAGTTAATATCCTAATTGTTAACTGTTAATATCAGATGTACATTGAGGTGTGATATTTTTTGAATTCATCCTTGGAAAAAGTAAGGCTTGTTTGACTTGTTGAATGGAAGAGAATTCTAGTAAGAATAAAATGTGTGAGCACAGGTAGATAAATCAAGAGAGATACAAGTAGTGACTGAAAATTATGGTGAATGTTTAAGTTTTAAAAACCTTATTACACATTGCCAAGAATGACGGAATGTGTTTGAAGTGAGGGAGAACCTTTGAATATTTTGAGGGGAACTGATGACAATGTGTCTTTTAGTGTAATAAATTTTAAAAAATTTAAACATTCACGTATGTTCTGTTTATACTTTGTACTGTAGTAGTTGGGATTATCTACCTTGTTAAATGGGGGAGAAGAAAAGCATATACAAGTCTGGTTTTATGGTATGTTTTTTTGTTTTTTACGTATTAGTTTCCACTGTTAAAATGTAGAAAATAAAATCATAATAGCAATAAAATAGCTATGTAGTAAATTAAAATTGTCTTCATGGAGGGCTGGTGATGTAGATCAGTTGGACAGTGTATTCTTTACATGTGTGAGGTCTGGGTTTGTGCTCAGCACCACAAGATAAAATAAAAACCAAAATTGTCTTCATGCTACAAAAATTATAACTTAGGACTATGTCAAAAAAGGATGAAATAGTACGTACCTCAACAGCTAATTGTGAGAATTACATATGTCATAAAATTGTAAAGCAGTTGGTATAATTCCTGGCCTAGAGTAAGCACCCAGCAAATTTAGTTCTTATTGCCATTATTACATATTGAAAATTCTTTTTTTTTTTTTAAAGTATTTTTTTTTTCTCTTGTGATATTGTGAATTTAACCCAGGGTCTCCCATTTGTCTGGAAAACACTATACACAAGACCGTACCACTATATCTCTGGGCCTTTTATAGAATTTTATTTTGTGACATGGACTCATTAAGTTTCCAAGGCCAGTCTCAAACTTGGGATCTGCTTGACTGTGTCTCCCAAGTAGCTATGATTACAGGTATATGCCACAGGATGTAGCACAGAACTCTTACTAGGAAATTCTTTATAGGCCATGATCTCTTTAGCATTTAAAAAATAATATTGCCTATTGTTAATTATTGAAGATTTTTCTCAGCAAGTCATATTGAACTTCAGTGTTTTGAGTAAAATAGCAGTTTCTAATACTTGTGCTGATTGTTGAACTGATCTCGGGCATTTAAAAATTCATCTATCAATAAATCACTATTGCATGTTAACCTAGCTCTTTGAAGCAGTAGGGACTTCTCTCAGTGTAGAAATAACATCCTTTTTTTCCCTTCATTTAGACAAGTTCGTACCATATTCATATCCTTTTGGGATTGGAAAAACCAGAAAGATCATCTTTCTTCTTCAAACTCTGAATTTACAGGAAGAAGAAAGTGAACACCAGGGTTAGCTGCATAACCCAAAGTCATCTTTTTAAGAATATTTTATTTATAGGCTGGGGATGTATCTCAGTGGTAGAGCACTTCCCAAGCATGTACAAGGCTCTGGGTTTGATTTCCAGGAAAAAAAAAGAGAAAAAGGAAAAGAGAGAAAGGGAGATGAATATTGTATTTAGTACTGCACATGTGTTCACAGGTATTCTTTAAGTATTATAGCAAGAGAATACCAGGCACCTTCTTCATTAAGTGGGATGACTGCTCTCCAGTTTCATTTCTTTGGCCCATTCTTGCCGGCATTTTTTCCCTTACTCTGTCTGGTTTTCTGCTTAGTGTTTATCGCATCCTCATTTTCAAGTCATTTTTACAAAGTTCCTAGCAAATGTTGGTTTCACTTAATTATCCTGTATCACTGCATCTTCTCCTCAAAGGCAGGGAATGGCTAATTTCCCCATTTTTCCTTCTCTTATTTCAGATTATGAGTCCAAGGACAACAATATGGAGCTCACAGCAAAGCAGATTTCTAATGAAGCCAGTTCACCCAACTCACATTGGGTGGCAGTAGGAAGCACTGAAAGAAATATTTCCCAGAGTCAAGAGTTTGCAGAAGTTAGTGACTTTAAGGGCATGGTACAAAGGTGGCAGGTAAATCCCACCATGGGGAAACTGAAGCAGAATCCTTCCCAGAAGAGAGATCTTAGCACTAGCAAAGATACTAACCGTAAGCAGAGCACAAATGGTGAGAGAGGGCACAGATGTAACGACTGTGGGAAATTTTTTCTTCAAGCCTCCAACTTTATTCAGCATCGGCGAATCCACACTGGAGAGAAACCATTTCAGTGTGGTGAATGTGGGAAGAGCTATAATCAGCGTGTGCACCTCACTCAGCACCAGAGAGTCCACACCGGTGAGAAGCCCTACAAGTGCCAGGTGTGCGGGAAAGCTTTCCGGGTGAGCTCCCACCTCGTGCAGCACCACAGTGTCCACAGCGGGGAGAGGCCCTACGGGTGCAACGAGTGCGGGAAGAGCTTTGGTCGCCACTCACACCTGATTGAGCATCTGAAACGGCATTTCCGGGAGAAGTCCCAGATATGTACGTGGGAGGAGTTTGTATTCAGGAATTACCTGAGGGCAAGCATTTGCTTTATGAGCTTAGTGGCACAAGACAAATGGGTTGTAATACTGGGAGCAATAGGAAGGAACAAAAACCACAGTTTACTGTATTCTTAGTTATACTTAATTGCCAAATGAATGGGCAAAACCCTATTCCTTTCTATCCCTTACCCTCAACCTTCCTTTTCCCCCCAACTGTACTTGCTTTTATCACTTACCCGTTTCTTCTGGTAATTCCATATTTTAACCTAATACTGCTGTTGCTTGATTCATACATTTTAGACATTCTTTTTTGGGATTTCCTGGGAAGTGAGGCCCAGAGCCTTTACACAGAGCTATATCCCCAGGCATTTTTTTCCTATTAAGTTTATTGATACATTTGAGGTATACCATACAATTACATTCATCACTGGGAATTTGTGCCTTTCATGATGCATCTTGGTTCTTATTTTTTCCCCATTCCCTGCCCTCCCTTCACCCCCTCCACCCTTCCCTATTACAAAGACTTTGTTTCCATTTTTTCCTTTTCTCATATTTTTTCTTTTCCCTTCTTTCCTTTCCCCTACCCCTCCCACTATTCCTAGTCCTTTAGACCTTTTCTTTCTATTTCACATTATCAATTATACATTTTGATCCTTATGTAAACTTAGATTTTTCACACCAGAGAAGCTGTTCAGTATTTACACACGTGTGTCCTATTTATGTCACTTAAGCATTTGGCCTCACAAGGCCAGCCATTTTTATTCTTTTTCTTTAGCCAGGGTCTGGCAAAGTTGCTAACTTGCTTGGGCTGGACTTAAACTTGTGAGCCTCCTGCCTCAGCATCTCACAATTACAGGCTACAATTACAGGCTTGTGCCACTGTGCCCAGTTTTCTGTAGTAATTGACAATTTGGCTCCTGTACATCCATCTTTCTTTGTTCCCTGCTCTTTTAATTTAGTTATTTCATTTATTTTTAAATGATAACAGTGGTACATCAAGTTTGGAGGAAAGAAAGGAAGAAAGAAAGTAACCACACAGAATCCTACCATCCTAAGGAGCAAAGCTATGATTATTTAGTGTGTTTTCCTATACTTTTTTAAACCTATGTCACATAGTTGTACCCACAGAATACAGTTAAGTGTGACATGTGCACTTTTCAGTGTTTCAGTCCTCCTGTTGGTTATTTTGGACAACCTCCCATCATTAATGATATTGTAATTTACTTAACTTTACTCAACTATTCTTTGGTTGTTCAATTCTAATTTTTTAGCTATTGTTCTGACAACCATATTACCCCTTTACATTTTCCTATATTTAGGATTATTGCTTTGTTTTGTTTTGTTTTGTTTTTGGTACCAGGGATTGAACTTGGGTCCTTGCGGTTGTGCAGCAGGCGGCAGAACCACTGAGCTAAATCCCTGGCCCTAGGATTACTTCTTTATAATAGATTCCTAGGTGTGGGATTAGTAGGTGAAAAAATAAAAAACATTTTTGTGACTCAACACTTATGACTACATTGCTTTTTTTTTTTGGTACCAGGCATCAAACTCAGGACCTTGCAGGCGCTGGCACCACTGAGCTAAATCCCCAGCCCTTACATTGCTTTTTAAAACAATTGCACTGCACGTGAAAGTATCAGTTTAAATAAAATTTTGCTAGAGTTATTAAAATTTTTTAACCATTTGTGTAGCCAGAAGAGAATTTGTTTTTGTGTTGTTTGTTTTCATTAATTTGGTTATGAATAAGGTTGAGTATCCTGTTTGTTTACTTTGTAAAAATCTTTTCAAATAACATTAACTATGGGTGAGATTACTATTACCTGAACTGTGAATTTTAAGACTTTTATTAGTATTCTTCAGCCAACTAAGACTGGCCAGTTTTTGATTAAATTAAATTAATTAATTATTGGGCCAGGATTTAGCTCAGTGGTTCTGCCACCTGCCTTGCAGGCGCAAGGTCCTGAGTTCGATCCCTGGTCCCCCTCCCCCCAAAATTAATTATTTGTGGTACTGGGGATTGAACCCAGGGCCTTCACACTGAGCACTGAGCTGCAACCCCCACCCTGCCTTAAGACAGTCTTGCAAAATCATTAGGCTGGGTTGGAACTTGCAGTCCTCTTGCCTCAGTCTCTGACTGCTGAGATTAGAGGTGTACGCAACCACACCTAGTGAATGTTTTTATCTTTTAATTTTTAAATTGATGCTCTTAATGTCCTCAAGCTCAGCTACTTGTGATTCACATTAACATCACTGCCATGTCTTCCTTCATGGTATAGACATTTATGAAGTTGATAATGTCTTTAGAATTTTGTGTTGAGCCGACCTGTCTCAGCTAGTTTCATCCTGTTCTTGGTGACTACCCCATTTGAACAGACCATCTGATAGCAGTTGCTTCTCAAGTATCTTTCACATCCCACTTGGAGTTGTTCCTCAGACTTATTCCCCAGTCATTACTCTCAACCTTCTCCTACTGTTTTGGACTAGAGGAGGAGTGCTTTGATGTGTTCATCCAGCCACTTGTTTTGAGAGCCCCTAGTGCTAAGTGCTCAGGATCTGGCAGGGAATAGAACAGATCCCATTGGAGTTCTCATGGAGCTGTGGTCTGGTGGTGTGGCAGTTAAAGACGAGAGAAGCATACCAGGTGTGATGGTACATGCCTGTAATCCCAGCACTTGGGAGGCTGAGGCAGGAGGATCACCGTGAGTTCGAGACCAACCTGGGCTACATAGTCCAAGGCCAGTCTGAAGTACATAGTGAGACCCTGTCTCAAAAAAACCAAAAAAAAGAAAACATAAAAAAGGATGGGAGATGTATGAGGTTCCATATAAGAGAAACTGAAGCCAGAGGGTCAGCTCAGGTGAGGAGGACAGGGATTGATGTATCACCTGCCATCCTGATAGTATTTTTTTGTTGGCTCACTTCTCTGTTTCATGGCTCCTAGTCAGATATTTCCTAATTCCAAACACTTTTTAACCCTTTGTCTTTTAGTTCTTCCAATTTTTGTCAGTTCTCACCATCCTATTATGTGTTTTTGTTCCACCTCATTCAGTGTGCTAACTCCTTTTGGGGTACTAAATCTGTCCTCATTCCTGTCTCCCCTCCCTTTTCAGAATTCCTTTTACTCCTTGCATTACTGCTACCCATTAAATAGATCTCTTTTTTGTCTTGCTCTCTTCACTGGACAAATACCCCCAATTTTTTCTTTTTCTTCCTTTTTAGTATCAAATACCTACATGTATTCCCTTTTGTTACTTCTGTTATAGTTTCATTTAATTATCCTCTTCTTCCCCCAACCCCGACACTTTATTTTTCTTCTGCAAAATAACTGATATTTGCATTTTTGCTCTTAACTTTTTTAGGCAGTGACAGAAGAAGTAGGAATACAAAACTGAATGTTAAGAACAAAATTTCAGAATTTTCAGAAGCAGACATGGAAGTACCAGAAAAAATCCAAAGGAATGCATCTGAAGTTCAAGGTTTTCAAGAAGGCTATGAACACCAAGGCAAGGCTGACAGAAAGCAGGGACTTCCTATGAAGGAGATACTAGGACAGCCCTCTTCAAAGAGGATTAATTGCAGTGAAGTCACTTACATCCACAAAAAACCCTCCACAGGAGAGAGACCACATAAATGCAATGAATGTGGAAAGAGTTTTATTCAGAGTGCACATCTTGTTCAACATCAACGAATTCACACTGGGGAGAAGCCATTTCGGTGTGATGAGTGTGGGAAAAGCTACAACCAACGTGTGCACCTCACTCAGCATCAGCGAGTTCACACAGGTGAGAAGCCCTACACCTGTCATTTATGTGGGAAAGCATTTCGAGTGAGGTCCCATCTCGTTCAGCACCAGAGTGTGCACAGTGGGGAGAGGCCTTTTAAGTGTAATGAATGTGGGAAAGGCTTTGGAAGGCGTTCACACCTTGCTGGACATCTGCGACTCCACTCCCGTGAGAAGTCCCATCAATGTCATGAATGTGGAGAAATCTTCTTTCAGTATGTCAGCCTAATCGAGCATCAGGTGCTCCATGTGGGTCAGAAAAATGAGAAAAATGGCATTTGTGAAGAAGCATACAGTTGGAACTTGACTGTGATTGAAGACAAAAAGATTGAGTTACAAGAGCAGCCTTATAAATGTGACATATGTGGAAGAGCCTTTAATTACAGTTCAGACCTTATTCAACATTATAGAACTCACACTGCAGAGAAAACCCATAAATGTGATATATGTAGAGGAAATATTGGCCAGTGTTCCCACATAAAACAACATCAAAAAATCTGTCCCAGTGCAAAGCCCCATCAGTGTAATGAATGTGGAAGAGGCTTCACTCTGAAGTCACATCTTAGTCAGCATCAGAGAATCCACACTGGTGAGAAACCTTTTCAGTGTAAAGAATGTGGAATGAGTTTCAGCTGGAGTTGTAGCCTCTTTAAGCATCTGAGAAGCCATGAGAGGACAGATACCATAAACACCTTATGTGCATAGGTGTTTCTATTGAAAAACAGCCCAATGTTAGAGAAGCCTTCCTAAAGAGACCTTATTCCTATAATGAGTGTAATAACAATATGAAGGATTTTTCCACCTTAACCATTAAACCTACAGATATATTGAACTCTCAGTTAGAATTCATCCTAAAGGAACACTGGAGCATCCACAATGAGTAAATGCCTGTTTGCTTTCCCTTTTGAGAAGTGCTTTGGGTAGCATCTTTATGCTTAGAAATCTAGATAAAAGGAGAACCCTGGATATGGCAGATGCAGGAAAGCCTTCTGACGACACTCATTCTTTATTAGAATTTCAGAAAATTGACACTGAGAAAAGCTTCATGAGGGCCGGGGATTTAGCTCAGTGGTTCCGGTGCCTGCCTCGAAAGTGCAAGGTCCCGAGTTCGATCTCCGGTACCAAAAACAACAAAAAAAAGAGAAGCTTCTTGAATACAATAGAAATAATCTTTATTTGTAGTGTCTGCCTTGTTTGACAGCATATTGATTCAGGGAAGAGTGCAGTGAAAGAACTCTTCAGCATGATACCTGTTTTGATACCTCGGCAATGAACTTTTCTAGAAACAATTATCCCAACCACTAAAACACTCCAATTATTGTTCCCATCTTGAGTATTAAACCCTTTGAAAAGCAATTGACTTAGGCATCTATATTTTGGCAAAATTCGTGTTCAAGAGGCTTGATGAGACATGTTCCTACTGCCATATTCAATCTACAAATTATCTATGAAATACTCTACCTCACTTTCATTTTAATTATACTAGTGGCAAGGTTACCTAGTAAAAAGTTAAATTTGTAAATCTATGAGAAACTGAATCCCACCCTAAGGTATGTGAGAAGGACCTTAGGGAGACAGAGAAGAAAGGCAAAGCTGCTGGTGGTCTGTATGACAGTACACACAAATCCGTAGAGGGAATTGGACCAAGTCAGATAAGGATTTGTGTGTGTGTGTGTGGTACTGAGGATTGAACCCAGGGCTTTTTTTTCTGCTTTTTATTTATTTATTTTAATTTTGAGATCGGGTCTTGCTAAGTTACCCCGGCTGGGCTGGAATATTATAGATGTGTACCACCACATGTCCCTTAAATTATAGATCTTAGTCTAAGCAGTATGTGCACCAGTTCCCAAGGACCCTGAGGATAGACCTCCCTTATAGGGTGATGGTGCGTAGAATGAGTTTCAGTTTGTGTTGCAACTAGAATTGCTAACAAGAAGCTGACATAGATGCAGTCCAGTACCACCTGCCATGTGGGAAGGTCTTGGTAGGAATTTTTCAGGGGAAAGATAACATGGGTAAGAGCATTGACTCAAGAGTGTTTGCTGTGGAGAATGAGAATGCTTCAGGGGTACTGCTGAAGTCCTGCTTCTGCTGACTTTGGTCCCCATGAAGTGTTTGTTGATTGTATGTGTGACTCATGGTGTCGCCCTCTCCGGACTCCTTTACTAAGGTGTTGCACCCACCCCTCATGTGTTTTGCCTGCTAAGTGCACACAGCTGTCTTTCTTCAGAGACTTGGGGATTGTTCTTAGAAGATGGGAGCTGCCGCAGCCCAGGAGTTTTCTCCTCTGTGTCTTCATCCAATAACTGGTTGACATGATTGACAGGGATTTAAAAAAAAAAAAAAGCTGATTCACTTACCTTGATGGGGGAAACTAGCTCAGTTTGTGTGCTAGAACCCTCTGGGGATTGGGCCAAGGCTAGATTTTATCAGGCCACTTCCAAGCTTGGCTTTTTCCTTTCATTGTTGTCTTTCATTCCCTCCCTCCAAGGCTTTTCCTGAGGAGCACACTCAGTAATCTATGTAGCACTGAGTCTCTATCCTAGGCTGTACTCTAGAGAACCTCACATAAGACACTTGGTGCCCTAAGTGGTCCTAGGAAGATGACTGTAAGAGTGGCTTGTGGAGTTGGTCACTCATTAGGCCATGATAACCCCATCACTGGTAGAGTGGAATATTGCTAGTCTTTTCATATGGTACCTGTTTAATCACTAGATACTGACTTGTAAACTGGCATGGAATACAGGTGGAAAAGATGAACTGATTTATGTAAGGTTTGGGTCAAACAGGAGTATAATATGATTATGGGATCAGTGTTTCTGCTGAAAGCCACTGACTCCTTGAAGATAGAAAATGAGAGGGAATAGCTAACAAGCTAAAGAGTGTGAGAGACACTCTCATCTACAGACATAACCCCATAACTAAAGTTCACCTATGAGATTTAACTGAAAATGACTGAACTTTATAGTAGCTTGAATTCACAACCAAGATGGCTCTAGTTAAAGTCAGGGCTCTGGCAGGGAAGAGGTGGAAAAGATAGGACTATGTGAATAACCCTACTTGAGCACTTTTGAATCCCTAAAGTCCCTTGAACTCATCCTGTATAAGTGGTCCATCTTGTTGGAAAATAGAAGCTTTCACTATCTGAAACAGTGTAGGTGCCCGGAATGAAACAGGTGATGTATAAGACAATGCTGACCCTCAGAACCTGCTCCCACCTCCCTACCTGTCTACCAGACATGTTAGGAGGATTAGGTCTCACCATAACCTGACTTTACAAGGGCTAGGCCTGCTAAAGGAAGGACAGTGATTCTACATCAAAGGAGTTGCAGGTCTTGGTTAGGAGGTACTGGCAGGACTGGAGACTTCCTAATAGTGGATCCTAAGAGTGGTGACCAGGGACTTAATTAAATTTGGAAAACTTGAGGCCACTCTGTGTGACAGAATTCAACAAAATGACAAGTGGTAAATGAGTCTAATAAACTGTTGGGATGATTCTTGAAAGGTCAGAAAAGCCAGGCATGGTGGCACATGCCTGTATATGATCCCATCTCCTTGGGAGACTGAGGCAGGATTGCTGGAGCCCTGAAGTTCTGAACCAACCTGAGAAAATAATAGGACTGTCGAAAAAAAAGAGAAAAGGTAGGAAAGACAAGACCCATATTAAATGATGTAGAGATACCAGAACTGCTGTGGCAGGCTGGACAACAGTATCAAGAAGTTCATAAATAGAGAAACTTGGTTGAAATTATTATATAAGGCCAAGCAAGCTACCACCAACTATGTTTCTTAGGAGGTTCTGGAGAGCACTCTTTACTAAGATAATAAGGACTGCACTGGTTGGGATGGGAGCATAAGCATCTCTAAAAAGCTTGTTGACTATCCTCACTTGCTGGACTGATAGATAGTAAGAGATGCTCTTAGACAACTGGGCTTCCCAATAGCAAAGGTAATGGTAGATGTTGGAATAGCAGAATCTATGTAGCAGAATATAACTATCAGCAACAAAGTGGGTACAATTACTGTGATGGGCAGCAATGCCTGAATGGGCAGATTAGAGGCTGACTTTGGGATATATAGAAATGTCTAATAAGAGTTTTGCTTAATATAGTTAATCAGAACAAATGAACAGAAGTGTGGAGTCAACTACCCCAATGAGAAATCACAATCCCTGGCTCAGTTCCAGTATTCATAAGAGCCCATTGATTTTAGCTGCCTTGAGGAAGGATCCTACAATGTGATGGATGGCAAGTGCATATAGAGTGATTTCCCTACTTATTCTAAAGAGACCCATAGCCTTTTACTGAGGTAGTTCTGTGTTAGAAACAAAGAATACCCAAGACTCTTTTCTCCTCCTCCAGAAGCGTATGGGAGTCAGGTAAATGGAATCTTAACTGAGGTCCATACCCCTATGGATCCACTGGTTGCGTGGGCCCACTTGGTCAGTTTCCTGGTTCCTCAGTGTGTGATTAGACTGGACATACTTAATTGGTAGAACTGTCACCTTGGTTTCTTTACCTGTAGATTGAGATCTGTTGTAATAGAAAAATGTTTTAGCTGGCATCTTCATGCTTGAAAATCTACACAAGAGAGAGGCTATGAATATAATGAAATACGGTGGGAGCTCTTGAAAATACTCCAATTCTGTCAAGGTAGTTAAGCAAGGATATTGTTTTCTTGGGAATGGCAGAGATTAGTGCTACCCTTGCATATTTAATAGATATAGGAGTAACAGCCCCTTTCATATCTGCATTTGATTCACCAGGCTGGACCTTGTAAAAGCAGGATCATGAATCAGGGCAGATAATAGGAATCATGGCAGATCACAGTGGACTACTACAAACTTGGCCAAGAATTAGCCCAAATTAAGCTTCTGTACTATATGAGGTGACCTGCACTTTCCACCCAGGAGGCTAGATTCCCATTAGTCCTTTTATTTCCTTTTGGTTGATGAGAACCTTCTTTTAGAACTTGGTCTTTTCCCCCAGGCTGAGGAGGAGCTTAAATTCTTTGTTGTTTGGGTTTTTTTTTTTTTTTTGGTACCTGGGATCGAACTTGGGACCTTGCACTTGCAAGGCAGGTGCCAGAACCACTGAGCTAAATGCCTGGCCCCTTAAATTCTTTGTTTTATAGAGGATGACTTAGGGAGCCACTGAGATGAGACCTATTGGGTTCCTAGAGAACTCCCATGGAGGGTAGCATTCATTGAGGAAGGCAGGACAGTGACTCACTTCCAGTGGGCTCTTTGATTGGTCAGTGTGTTTTGAGGGTCAAGAATTGTGCTCTTCTCATCTGTCCTCTGTGCCCACCCTGGGCTCTGGGTTATGGGTAGGGAGTGGTGGTGTGAAGGGCTCTAGGGTGCTGAGATGCTTAGTTACTGCTCCTGGCATTTAGCCCCAACAGAATGTGTCAAGAAGCCCCTCTTTGAGTTCTTTTCCTTGAGCACAGCCCAGCTTTGCTCTTTTGACTTAAGATAAAGCAAAGATGTTAGCAGTTTTCTGTCCTTGTGAAAAACCATGGACATGGCTTCACCAGAAAGTGCAAGCCTAGTAGGTGGACATGAGAAAAAAAACAAGCTCTAGGGGAGTTCCAGAGAAAGGAAACTTCAAAAATCGGTGAGTGTAGATTTGAAATTGCTGGATCTTTGGATAGTAGGACTGTTAAGACATTTCTTGAAACCAGAATGATGTAAAAAGGGGAAAATGACAGAAGTACACTGGAATTCTGGGCAGCAGTTACTTACAGAAATGCTGAAAATACAGCAGATAATAAATTAGGGTTATTCAAGGGTGAACAAAATTGAAGAACATGTATGTTTGGAGTTGATGTCAATGATGATTTTACCTCTTCACAAGGTGTCTCCTCTTTAGTGCCTCTGGTAATGGCAGAATGATGAGCATAATAAATCATGAGTCTGATGCAATGTGGCAACTACTTTGATCTGTGCCTGGGCAGAAAATTACAAGTACTGGGCCCGGGATTTAGCTCAGTGGTTCTGGTGCCTGCCTCGCAAGTGCGAGGTTCTGAGTTTGATCCCTGGTACAAAAAAAAATTACAAGTACTGTATTTATTACCAATATATATATGACCAGGAAAGTATATGACTGTCTTAGCCCAAACCTATCACTAGGTCTAGATAAATAAACTTAACCACTAGGGGAATGGTAAAATCTTGTTTATAAGAGAAAAAAATTAACGAGACCTGATGGCACACACCTGAAATCCCAGCGCTCAGGAGGCTGTGGCAGGAGGGTCACGGCAAATTCAAGGCCAGCCTGGGCCACACAGTGAGTGCAGGACCAGCCTGAACTACACAGTGAGACCTTGTCTCAAAACAGAGCAAGAACCCTGAGTGG